CATTTTGTACACATAGGCAGGATACCTGTGGTCTCTAAAGGAAAACTCACCGAAGACAGTGGTTGTATGTCTAGAATCCCTCTCAAGTCAATGGAGCGCTTATTCATAAGCACTCCAAGGGCAGCTTCTTTTTATCCCAATGTAGGTGACTGGAAAATAGGTCAGATTATTCATACTTTAAAAACTGTATATTTCATTCATGTGGATGAAAGAGATCTGTCTGATACAGTCTATATAGATTTCCAAAATCATTCAGCAAAGTCCTTCCACATAATTTCCTAAAGTATCTAAATGGATGTGGGATAAAAGTTGCTTCATGAATAAACAACTGATTAAACTATTGGAAGAAAGGGTAAGAGTAAATGGCCAATTTTCACAGTGGAGGGAGGTCACCAGTAGAGTCCTACAGGGCCATGCTGGAACTCACGGTGTTTAACATATTCTTAAAATGCTGTGAAGCAGCAGCTGTGGAAGTGTGGGTGATGAAGTAGCAAAGTTTACTGAGAGTACTGGGTTGTTCAGGGTCAGAAAGTTGAAGACCAGCTGTGGAAAAGGTATAAGGACCTCTTAAAGCTGAATGACTGGGCATCATAACTCTGTGTAGAGAAAGATTCAACGAGGATACAACATTGGGCAATTTTGTCTGATATTACCCTTTAGGACCAAGATCTTAGGCTTCTAGTGGATAAGTAGAGAATTCCTTGAAAATCTTAGCAAGAAGGAATCATGATAAAAAAATCAAATTGCCAGGATAAAGGACTATAAGGAAAAGAACACAGCTCAAACTAGAAAACAACACGATGCTTTGAAAAGCAATGACTGAGAGAGGCAGAAAGTCATGAAATTGTGAAGGGCAGGGTTAGACTATTCCAGAAAGACTTTCTGTCTGTTCCTGTACAAGAACAAGAAAGCATCAATAGTCATTCAGAGATAGTATTTTCATTAAAATAAAATTAAAGCAAGTTGTTTTTCATGCAGCTTGTGTTTCAGCCGTGGAATTTCTTGCTTCAGATTGCTGGAGGTTCACATAAGTGCTTACAGAGATTCAAAAAGCAACCTGTCCAAGGAAGAGAATACCTTTCTTTCTAGGATAATTAATTGCAAAATAAATTAATAGTAAAACTGTCCCAAAATCCTGAATGTATTTGTTTATGAAACCACTGACCGGCAACTTGTAGAATGCTTAGAGAATATTTTAGTAGTATTACAGATAGCCAACAGCTTTTCAAACTCATCCTTTGGCATCTGCTGTCAGCCATTGCCCATGGAAAGACACTGGGCTGGATAGATCTTTATCTCAACTTAGTCTGATTGCTCTTATATTATATAATGTGAATAAAAGGACATTCTTGAGAAAACTTTGTCTTTTGTACCACAGTGACTTCCATGCTCAGTGTTAGAATTATAAAAGTACACCTCAAATGTGAAATAGAAAACTGAGTAATTCCTAAGAAAGACAAAATGCAGAATGGAACAAAATGAAGCAAAAAGCCAAAGAAAAGTATTTGAAAGAACGAGCGCACACACACACGCACACTGCTGTAATGGTTACCAGATCTGCAAAACACAGAAGTTGGAAAATGGAGAAACTAGGTTTGACAATGCAGTGAGTCCTTTAAAAGAAATAATAAGCTCACACTGGGCTGCACAGAAGCTAGTTCCCTTGACTACCAGAGACTTTCAGAATGGAAATAAACCCAGAGGTGACTTAGAGAAAGAGCAAGTGCAGAAAGAGGGGGAAACAGAGACTCCAATTAAAATGCACCAAGAGGCTGAAAAGATTCATGACAACACCTCAGATGATGTTATGCAAAAGACTGGGCAATGAGTAGACTTCATTGGGCCAGCATGAATGCACAGAGTGTAAAAATGGTAAGAAATCATTGCCACTGTGCAAAGTACCAGAGATAGAAACGCTGGGAGGCTGTGACCATTTGTGATGCACCCAGCAGAGCTTGACAGCAACTGGCAACTGATGTATTTAAACATGGAGGAAACCACCACCTGCTGATAATTGATTATTACAGTTGTTCTTTTGAAGCTAACAAAAGTAAAAAACACATTATGCAGCACTCTGGTGAATCACACTGAGGTAGGAGTCATCGAACACTGCATTTCCAATGAGTTCATTTGAGATAATGGGTCACCATACACACTGGAGGAATTTTTAAGGTTTTTAAAGTACCAGGGTTTCAGATGCAGCTGGTAGTTCTCATTGCTGATAGTTTTATGGGCTGGTCAACATTATTAATAGCCAAAAATATATTAATTCAGAGAAGATCTGCCTTGAGGTTTACTGACATGACCCTGTGGAATCAAATGCTTTACTGCCTGTGATGCTAATAAGCTTAAAGCTCTACTCATAAGTCCCATGGCATGCTCCTTCTACAGCCCAGAGCTGCAGATAGCAGCCAAGTAGCACAGATGGGAGCAGAGTGGGAAATGAGAGAGCAAGCCCAGCACAATCATTCGAGAAACTACAACATGGCTCTAGGTAACTCAGAGATAATGGCATGGCTGGTGTTATCCTTGTGTGGAAACAGCATTTGTGGAAAAATTCACTTTCTCTGCAATACAGGTAGAAAATGGAGAGAAACGAGATTAACCTCAGATGTTAGAAGACAGCCCTGGCCATGCAACTACTCTTCTGCTCTGATAAAAATCTTATTCTTGATCCTCAAACAGCATCTGAAGAAGTCAACAGCCACAATCTCGCCGTGGCTTTAAAGCCACCCGCTACGCAGAAGGGAAATGACTCATACCTGAGCATCAAGTGATACAAGTGAACTGTACTGTGTCACTCAAAAAGTTCAAGCCCAAAGATCTGACATTTTTATGTTGTGATTACACAGAAACATTGGTAAGAGCATTTCCAGTTTTATGTCATTTTCATGCATCATTAGATAACTGGTGCAACATCATTTAGAGAAAATCTCTTAAAATTACTCCAGGAGATTGTTTTCTGCTCACTTGATCAGCACGGGTGCTGAGTTCAGATGCTGAGAGCAAAAGGTGGTTTTGAAAGCCCAAATTAAAAAAAAAAAACTGTTTAAGTTTACATGCATGGAGTGTCATTCAAATGAGCAGTCAGAATAATACAAAATATAGGTCAAATAACCAAAATGAAAATAAATATGAAAAGTTACACTCAAGTCAGAAATTCACAGCTGTGCTGTGGAAGGGTTGGGGGAGATTTTTGTTGCTGAGCTGTATCTCCTTCACCTCAAAGAGGGAAAGGAAAGCCTGTGATCCCAAAGCCATGCCATAGATTTTACCTCACGCATATATTGCCTCAACTAAGAATTCATTTAAATTAAGAGCACCGAATGCGACAAAGCAATGCATTCAGGTAGGAAGGTGATTACAGTAACCTGTAAAATGGTTTATTTGAAGAATAGGCTTACATTGCAGGATCAGGTTCCTTTCCATACCCTTAACACTGTCTCTGGGAGCAATCTGGCTGATAAATCACTTATATATGAGCTGAATGACTCTTTTGATTCCCCTGTCTCAGTTAAATATCCACTGAACACAGTAGAAGCTTACACATCCAGAGCAGAGGAAGACACTCATGTAACCACCTAAACTTAGGTGTCTTAAGCTGTCATGCATTATGACTTTTCCTCTTCTCCATTGTGGCTGCTTCTACATTCTGACCCTTATTTAGCATAGTTAAAATGAGTAAAATTGTAATTCATTTAAATTAGTAGAAATCAACGACTCATTTCTTTGTTTAGACAATCTATTTCCAGTCCCCTTTCCTCTTTTTGACTAGGGGAAAGCTGGGGATAGTTTTTTTTTTTTTTTTTAATATTTGCTAAATTCTAGCATAAAGGGAGCCAGGAAGCAACTGGCTTTCTGGACTGTATCACAGTAACATTTTATATTATTGATCATAAAGTACTGGTTACATGTTAGATCCTATGTAATGTCAAAACAGCAGAACTTGCCTCTGCCTTTGTATGTGTATAATGGCTGTGTGACATTTTCACCTGACAAATATCAGACTAGAGAATAGGAAGCTGATCATATGTGTGTGTATATCTATGTATATATATATATATACATATATACATGCAAGCACACACATATACATGTAAATTAATTAATTGTGACTGTGTTTATAATATTTCTGTCCCTTTAAGTTACAAATTCATCATCCATATTTTGCATAAACAGCTGCAATACATTAATTTTTTGAGAATAGTAAGGTCATTTAGTCATTTAATTTAAATTAGCAGCAATATATTTTCCTGTTGTTAATATCTTTTCCTAATAACCTGTTGTTCCCAAAGCTTTTTTTAGCCTTCAGGAACTTCTTCAGTTTTATATTCAAATATTGATGAAACTTAACCCTGGTTAGTTTTCACATCTGACAAGATCATAACTTGATGTGTACTATTATCCATTAAAAACCACTTAAGGCAATTGCTGTTACCATTGTAACATGATAAACCTGACAATAGACTGTTAGTTCAAAAGAAAGAACCCAGTAATTTCATTTATTCTCTATTCCTCAAAACATCTGCAGTGACGTAAAAGAAATGTCAAGTTAAAAATAACAATTCATGGGTCATGGTATCAACTGTGATTTCATTACATTATGTCTCTGAGCAGACTAAAGCTGCTCTGACATTCAGACTTTAGGTGAGCTTGTAAATGAAGAAAATCTTAATCTATTTCAGTTCAAGATTATCAATTATTCAAATACCTACGCAGAGTCTTCATTTTCCCCACACTGCTAAAATGAGAACACAATGTAGTCAGCACAGTGGGAGGCAGGTAAGAGTGGGGAGCTCTGTTTGCAGCCTGAGCCTGCAGCCTCTGTGCCAAGCTGGGGTGGGAGGCTGGGAGACCATGGCTGAGGAAGGGCTGAGGATGGCTCAGAATCAGCATCCTGCTCAGAATCAGCCTCCTGCCGAGGGGCTCCCTGCATTTTGTCTGGGAGCCATGCTGCACCTGCAGACAAGCCTCACCTGTGCCTGCCAGAGCTCCCCTGGGAGGCTTTGCTTGGGAGACATGCTGCTTGAAAGAGAGATCTTCCAGGTTCCTTCTGAACACCTCCCCTCCTATGCTGAAAGTCAATTGTTACAAAGCATATTACTACTTTCATAGTAAGTAATATACAATTATTACTTTATCAGTTAGAAAAATGAATTAATGAATACAAATGGGAAAAAACAGGACAAAAAACCAGGAGAGGAAAGTACATATAACACCTTACCCCTTCAGTGCATTTATGGCAGTTCCATTGCAGTATCTATGACTGACAGGACCTGGTAAGCTCAGGTTCTGTTCTGAGACACCTGCATCAAGAAGGAAAGAGAACTTTTATCCTTATTTCAGAACTAAGTCGCTTTAAATTAGCAAACCTTTGAGGCTGACCTTACTTTCAGGGAACAAAAATCTCCAACTCCTAAGTGAGAGAGACAAAGATGAAATCTAGAAGAGCTGCTATTTCAAGACATCCCTTGCTTTAAGCTATCTCCAGGAAAAAAATGAAGCTTAAATGCAAGAGTGATGTAGGCACTTCAGAAATCCCCATACAAAAAGGGACAGATGCTCAGAGATATGGGCAGTTATAGGCACCCATTTCAGAATGTATCCACCAAGTGTCACTGCCCAGAATTTGGGAAAAATGGATCTTATGTTTAAGAATGACAGAGATAATAAAAATTTAAAATATTTGCAAGCCGAAAAAAATCCATATAGCAAGAAGAATTTCACCAGGGTTATTTTCTTTCCTGAAAGCATCATGTCTGCAGCTAGTGCTTGAGTGCATGCACAAATTAAGTTTACAGATTTCATAAAGCAATTTATTCCACTTGAATGTAATAGCAGTAATTTTTCATGTAAGTCAGCAAAATACAATCCATAAAGGAAAAAGTACTGCCATTATTTTAAACTATATTGTTCTTATTCTATCCAAATGTGAACTGAAACTAAATAATTTACTGTGTAAATTTCATTTTTAATTTTATGCCATTGAAAAAGAAAACAGAGAGAATGAGAGAGAGAGGGGGAATCTTCAAAGCTCTAAATCCTTGTATAGTAATGTCTCAACAGTAAAATAATCTAAGGAGTGTGCTTCAGCAAAAATGATTGCTAGGATCTATAATAGGATTGTTTTAACTCAAAAGTGTTTTATAAATTTTTGATTCACTCTGGGTTTTTGACAGCTTGCCAAGTTACAGTTTTTATCTGATCATCTTTGCATTAATAATACATTACAATAAGTTTTGCTGAAAAGTGGCCACTTTTTTCTCACTGAATACTTTACTTTTGCCAGCAAAATATTGACTTGAGTTTATAATCAATTCCTGTTTGGCTTGATCATGCTTAGCACGAAACTAAAACATTTGCTGCTAGACAGATGCCAATACAAATGCCATCATTGTCGTACTCTAACGAATTCCATCAGCTGCTAAATGATCTGCCTTGCAGGTTGCAATGTGTATCAGACCGAGGCCCACAGCTTCAGGCACACCAGGATGTGAGTAGTTGTACTTACACAAAGCTCCCATTCCCCTCCTTCAGAAGCACTTCCTCCCAGCAACAGCATTTATTTCCACACAGACATCCTCTGAGTCATCTGTGGCTTGCCCACTGACTGGATTCAATCAAGGCAAATGTATGAACAAAGAAAAAAAAAGCCAGAAATCACTTTAGTCACCTTCCCCCATCTTCTGATGCATGAATGAAAATTGACTTTCAAGAAAGAAACCAAACCAACCCCTAGAAAAGGAACTTATTTCTCAAGAGATTTTGCAGAAAAAAAAATAAGCTAGTTGCAATTCACATATCTTTATCTTCCATCATAATTATAACATTTATATGCAGATTAATTATACTTGATTAATATCAGGAAACAGAATAGTCTGAGAAATACTACTGTTTAACCTAACTCAGTCAACTTACCTCATGAAGATAGCACAAATTACCCCTTCCCTTGCATTGGCATGCCATTTGGAAAACCCCATCCTGTTCTGGCACATCAATCCCAGACCTTGAGTTTGCCCCGCCAGAGGAACTGAGCCAGAATTCTTGCAATTTTCTCTTTGTGCCTTCAACATTGAAAGCACAGCTCTTGTGTGCCAGGTCCAGGACTGGCACTTGGCCAAAGCTCTGCACTGTTGGCAAGAGACTGCTCTGCCACATGGCCCAACCAGAGAAGGCAAGCATGCACACCTCTAGAAACCCAGTGATGTGATGATGATGGATAGCAGGTGCCCTCTGAACAGGGGAAACCTTGCCACACTCTCAGCCACTCCCATTGTGAGGAATGGGAGAGACTTTTCTCAAGCCCCAAGTTGGCAGCTGCAGAGAGTGAGAACATACCTGGAGAATATAAATGTTGGAACCTGTCCCAAACAAATCTGTTCTGAGGTCTTTCTGTCTGAAAGGCAAAACAAGCATGCAGAAGTGGCACAGAGCCAGTGCCAAACACCCTACCTGACCCTCACAACACTGTCTGTCCTAACACACATCTCTCTTTGACATGGCTGAATGCTCTGATACTTCACCACCTTGTGGGGTTCTACAATTGACATAATGTGTTCATTTCATGCCCAACTTAGATATTTGAAAAGAGTGAGGAAATTAAAAACTGGCATGTGCAAATCAACAGATTGTGTACATCAAGACATGCTTTAGAATTTCATAAAGTCACTCCTGATGTCCAGACATAATTTTTAATTAACTATTACCTTCAGGCTGACCAGTTAAAAAATAAACAAACATGAAAATATGAGTTTATATTTAAACACAATTACACATTATATTTATTGCTTCATATAGTAAATTTCTCCTCTGCCCCAGGCAACAGGCAATTGCTCTGAGAAATAAAATATATGTGAGCCACTAAATTATGCAGGCCCTTTTAAGCACTGCATACATCTATAGTGTCCCAGTGGCAGTGACACTGCAAATTATAACATAGCAATATGGCCTTTAGGAAAGCCATTTTGCTATGTCTGGTCATTACACAAGTACTTTCAGAAATACGTCTCATTTTTCCAAAACTTAAATTCCTTTCAGAAAAGCATGCAAAATTTTGTCTATGAAAAAGCCAGGGTTGGCAGTCCTGTGGCACGTAAGAAAACCAAGTGCCTCAAGTCTCAGCTCTAGTGATTTCAGAGAATAAACTCCCTTTATATAGTTTCATCTCACTTGGGGCAAACAAGGAAGACAAAAATGTGAGTTTGCTGCAGCTGCTATCTCCTGCCTGAAAGTGACTGTCAATCAGCTTGAAATGAAAGGAAGATGCATCCCTCTTGTAGCAAGGCAAAAAGAATATAGTGGGAGCTCACTAAATCAGGATAGTGAGAAGCATAATTTGGAATTAAAATTGGAATCAGCTGGGCAATGACCTTCTTCCATGCCTGTGATTAGTCAATATTTTTATAATGAATCAATTAATAGTTGATAGCTGCTATATCTATTATGAAGGTCAAACAGCAGAAACAAAATTAAATTGAAATAAATAAGCCTGTACATATATATCAGTGAAAAAAATGCTCTGGAATGCTGAAAAACAAGTGTTCATTATTTTTAATGTATGCTTTCCATTTGCCAGGGTTGTGCTTCCCAGTCCTCAGGGCTGGGTGAAGGTAGCAAATGGATGGTGCTGCAGTGAATGCTGAACACGAGTGACACGTGGGACTGACTTAAAAATTACCTTTTGTCTCAAAGAACAATAAAAAGATGACAGTTTCAGATTCATTCACATCACTGTCCTTTTGCAAATCCACAACAGTAACTCTGTCACTGATACAGCACACAGCACTCTCCATTCCAATGCAGCCAAGCATAACCTACATGGCAGCACAGGAAGTCTGGAAGCAAGAAAGCCATCCTGATTTCCCTTCCTACAGTACAATCTGTATTTTTCAGCTTTGAGGGAATCAGTAAATTCACTGAGACAATGGATGGGAAAGAAAAAATTAAACCTTTCTCTCACTGTCATGTGCACACAAAATGGGAATTATCAACCCAATGCAATCACGCATATGGAAAACAATTTCATTGTTTATACAACAGAAGAAAAAAGGTCTTTTAGCCCTGGCTTTCCAAACTTTGATTTGCTGTATTTTTTTTCAAATAGGAAGGATTAGTTGGTTTTGGTTTTACTTTCTGTTGAAACATGAAAAGAGCTCACTGGTGTCGCTTCATCTATGAACCCTCGTCGGACGTGAGCTGAGCTAGAAGGTTGGTACTTTGCATGTTGCTGCAAAATGGAAACCTTCTGGTTTTGACAAAGTGAAGAAAAATGACCAGAAATAGCAAAAATGCATCAGATATTAGCTGGAAACACATGATCAGGAACTGGTAATATGAACAACACTGCTAATAATTTCATCCCTTTGTGAAAGGAGAACGACATTTTCTGTTTTGAGGGTTGTTTGGATTTCACCCTATTGAAACAATCATTCTTCCATTAATGTACACTGGTCATGACATTGTTGGTTTGTTTATGTGATTTCCTAACACTGTGGATGTCTGTGATGCTTTGTCCAAGCATCCTGACACCTAATTTTCTCTGACAGCAATCATTCCTATCACAAATGCCAGTAGAGAATGTTACAATGGAACAAAGTGAAATTTGGTGCTTTTCTAACCAAGCATCACTGTTACAGTGATTGAAGGTCAAGCAACAGGACTACACAGGGTTTTGTATAGCTGCAGCAATGCCAACAGTGAGTGGTTGATGCCCAGGAAATCACCTTTTATTGTTTCCTTTTGTGTTACACAGATCCATGCATTTTTCTGTACACTGACTTGACCTGTGGTGAAGTATGTGTCATCCAAAAATCGATACCATGGTCTTTTTGCCTCTCTCTGCCTTGCAGGTCAAACAAAAGGAAGGTGTACTTGCTTGTGTCTTTTTTTAAAACTTTTTTGAGAGTGTTCATCTGAAATGATCCAGTGAGTAACAAAGAAACTCAAAAGGAAGCGGGTTTCATTAAAAGGAAAAGTATGCAGAAACATAATGAGTTTTTCTTGCATTAAATGAGGAGCTGACTCACAAAATAGAGGAGGGGATCAAAACCCAGGTACTTATAAGAATATCACAGGTTCTCCTCTTTGGCCTGAGTCAACATGGGCATTTCATTACATTAGAGCATCTCATGGTGCTTTGTTTGAAACAATACTCTCAAATGCCAAGATGATCCCATCTTGGCTCTAAATCACAACTCCTCCAGTTTCTGAGTCAGACAGCAGCCCCTGAGCACACAGAAGCAGCAGACAGAAACCAAAGTAGCTGTTTTGAGCTACACAAATTTGTATCTTTCACTGCAGATGTTGGGCAAAGTCTCTGTTTTCTAATTGAGCCAAAACAGTTTGTCTTCTGCTAGTGCCAAGCTACTCAAATGCAGGTCCTTAGTTTCCCACATTCACTGCATGTTGAGGAAGGAGAAGGATGTGAAATGTGTGATCCCCACTTTTGATCAGAGGTGCAAGGAAACAGATGATTCTTTACAGAAGCTGCAGAGGCTTTCTTCTTTTCCGCTCTGTATTTCTTGCTTAACTTCCTTGTTCTCACAGTTTTCCTGCCACTGGCACCAGCAGTTCCACTTTAAATAGAGCTTTAACATAGATATTTCACCCTGTCTGCCATTCTTCCTTGGACTAACATTTGCATGGCAGATGGTACAAATGGCCCAGCAAATATTTACTGGATCAGTGTTAGAAAGGCAAGGCAAAGCAAAACAAGGCAAAGCAAAACAAAACAAAACAAAACAAAACCACCCCAGCTGCCAGACTGACGACTTTTTGGCACCATATTATGTACCACCAGTCAACAGGATGGGGAAAACACCACAGGAAGATAATTGATGTTGAAATAACTGGATTTTTTGGAGTACTTTCTGAATCTTTTTATTTGGAACAAACCCAGAGGGCAACTACAAGGACAAGAACTTTTCCCTTTCCTTCCTAGAGTCTGTCTTTTTCTTGTTGCTTAGGTAAAAAAAAAAAGTATTGTGACAGATTAATATATTCCCCTTTCAAATAAAAACCAGTCATATCTGGTTTCAGAACTGTATTAATTACAGAGAATAGATTGAGCTCCTTGCAAATGGAGTCTCTGAAATTCTCATGGCAAAGTCTGGGACAAATATCTTACAGATTTAAGTAATGAGAGAAGCAGAGGAAGGTGATCAATGTTAAGAATAACCCATGGCTTTTGGAGGCACTTACTTGCTCAGGCTTATCAAGGGAAGAGCAGAACAGTGAAGCACCTGTGCAGTGAAGTTGCTTTTTAATTTCCATGTTCCTGTCAATCACTATCCCTTTATTTTGCCATTTCTTTGCTAGCTGAACTAACTGGGTGTGAACTTCTTTGATGGTGAAGGACCATGAAATGCCAGGAAGTCTTATGGAGCAAAATCCTTTTTCTTCACCACAGTGATTCTCTATAATATAATTAACAGTACAGAAGCAGTTCAAATTATATTACTATTCAAATGGATGCTATTTTCTAAGCAGGTTACATAACCCATAATTTAAAAACATTCTGTTAATATTCCAAGCAGAAAAAAAAAAGGAAAACTAAAAAACAAAAGTTAATGGG